CTATGGGAGATGTACTAAGAAGTACTGTAAAGGTTGAGAGGCAAAGGAAGAAGGGAAAAGGAAAATTAAGTGTATAGCAGAAGAGAGATGATGACAACTCACACCAGTAATGGAGATGATAAAAAGTGGCCAAATCTTGGATACATTTTAAAACAGAACCAATGGATGATTTTTTTTTTAAGATTTTATTTATTTATTTGTCAGAGAGAGAGAGAGTGCACAAGCAGGGGGAGTGGCAGGCAGAGAGAGAAGCAGGCTTCCTGCTGGGCAAGGAGCCTGACACGGGACTCGATCCCAGGGCCCTGGGATCATGACCTGAGCTGAAGGCAGACACTTGACCAACTGAGTCACCCAGGTGTCCCCAATGGATGATTTCTTGACACCCCGGATGCAGTGAAAGAGAGAGACCTTAAGGACGTGTCAAAGATGTTTTTAGTCTAAGCAAATAGGATGCCAGATCAGCCATTACCTGAGAATAAAAAGGCTGCAGTTGAAACTGATTTGGGGAAAAGATTATGAAATCAGTTTTGAATATTTTGGATCCTGAGACACTCAACCTGTACAAATCTAGACTCACAGGATTTTATCTTCCTATAGATGTGACAAGACCTATAAACATGAACTAGATATTTCAGATTCAAACTGAAAACATCAGCTCTGCCGAAGACAAGTGAAGATAGCACTTATTTCCTAATGTTGAACTCTGAGCTCAATGGAATCAGCTTTTTCACTATTTGGGGGGATGAAGTCAACTATAGAAGAAATCAATAGATATTAATTCATAAAAGCCATGCTTTAAATTCATCTGGCTGCCTCAATATACATCTGAATATTGATGTGGCTCAAGGAAGAAGGGCTAGAACTGAAAGTGTACTGTGTTTACCCAGAAGATACAGAACCCCTGGAGTTGGAGACATATATATGAATCTCAGAACACGTCTAAAAATTTTACCTGTGTGACCAAATTCTGAATATATGGGTTCATCCAGCTCTGTGAAAATATAATCTTATTAATAAACTAATGAAATCAAAGATTTAATTACTTAAATCATTTATTAATTCACTCTATCATAAGCCTCATCACTATATAATTCTATAATATTCTAGCATTAGAATTTTACTCAATTATTAAGATTACATCTTCAACTATTTACAGATGATTATGTATGTTGTTAAACAATGGAAGTTATGTAAATCTATCCTGATTAAACTTCATGGTAGTAACCTCTGATGATATACAAATTCAACTAATCTAACTCTATCTAATTTATACATACGTTAGAATATTCTTCACACTTACAAAAATCTTATGAGCAACACAATAATGATAAATTATGTTCATTTAAGAAATAATACACGGTTGAACTGGATTATAATATAAACTACCAAAAATATCAGTTTCAAGTGACATTTACAATAATTTAGAAAGGGTAGAAAAAGAAGGCTGGGTACACAGGAATTCCTTTACTAGACTAACCAAGGACTCCACTATAACTACAACACAAGATCAAAGAGAATTAAAAAAGGAGCTCTTGCAGGAAGCATACACACATACACAATCAAAAAAAAAAAATCAAAAAACAAAAAAACAAACCAAAGGTAGGTTACCCCAAAGTCCAACCAACTCTAACCTAAATAAGTTTAGGTCTACTTAGATGATAAGATCCTACATAGATGGCAGAATGGAGAAGAGCTTAAGGAGAAAAATCATTTGTCTAGGCCTTTGCGAGAAAATTTCAGCCCTTGTGTATTCAATTTAGTTTTCAGTGGAAAGACTTAAAAAGCACAGTCCTTTCCTCAAATCTAATAAACAGATCATTGTCAAACACCACACATCTTGTATCTAAAGGGTAAGACTTTACAAAGTTCCTCACTTCAAAATCTCTGACCTTGTGGGAAAGCCCCTTTCTCCTTCCGGCACACGCTGTTCCCTTGCGTGCTAACTGCCCTGTGGTAGCAGAACAGGAAATGCAGGTATGTCATCAAGACAGTCCCAGACAACAGTAAGGGCAGCCGCAGTTCTCTCACCTGACTCCGTACAAAGCCAAAGCAAAAACTATAAAACAAAACATGAGATGGGAATGAGAATGAGATGGAAATGGGGAAAGAGACGGCACATGCAGCCACTGCTGGCTTTCTAGACCTCGTGAAATTTGATGACTTAGAGACAGAACTCAAAACATCTCTTTTATCTAAAGACCATCACCATGATCTTGTCTCATCTAGACCATTCAATAGCTTCCTAACTACTCTCCCCAGTTTCACTCTGATTCCTCTACAATCCTTTCCTGCCCCCACTGAGCTCACCATCCTCATGTCAAGGCACCCTCCCCTTTACTCACTATATTCCAGCCACAGCATATAAGTAGCCTTTCAGTTTCTCAGGCCAGCCAGATTTAATTTCGCTGTTCTCCACACCCGGGATGCTCTTCACAGAACCCTTTCATCGTTCCTAAATGTTACTCCTCAGAGAGCTTCTCCCTAATCACATTATTTTCAGTCACAGCACTCTACTGGGCTCCCTCGAAGCAATTTGCTCAAACATAATCTGTCTCTTAACTATAAGCTCTGTGAGGACAGGGTAACTAGGTTTGTTTTATTCATAACTATGTACCTAGTGTCTCAAATAATACCTACCATAAAATTTAATAAACACTTGTTATATTACTTACTAGGAAACCTCAATTAAGACAGCTGATAAGGAAGGATTAAGCAAAAAAATTCTCTCAGAAAACAAGTATCCTAAAATCCAAGTATTAAAATTCAAGCATCTAAATCCAGCACTCAGTTCTGATAATGTTGCTTGTCTCATTCCCAACCTACAGTTCATCCATTAGACAGAAAAAGGTAAAACAGAAAGGAAAAGCCCACACATGGGAATTTAAAAGGAAGTGCCAATTAGAGAAGATCGTCAAACCCCAAAATACCTCAATGACCCCTAAGAATATCACTGGATACCAACCTGATAGTATCTGCTTTTGATTAAATGTTTCAACTCAATCGAATAATTCTGATTTATGCTCAGGGTCTTGTTTAAAAGCAGGAAAGCAAACGTTAACTTTCAGATGGATTTCCAAGAAAATGGTAAAGATTAGCCAAAAAATGTGCCTGAAGGGATAAACACCAAAATAGGTAATAAGTAATAATTTGCTTAATGTCTACTGTGGGTCCATGACATTAAATTATTTTTGACTCCCACACCTAATCTCTGAGGTAGACATTATCCCTTTTGCAGATGAGAAAACTAAAGCTCAGAAAGGTTAATGGTTACAGTTAGGTTACAGTTAGGAAATATCTGAGAATTAAAACTAATCTGCTTAACAGCAAAGACCATACTCTTTCCACATACCATCAACTGCTTCTAAATGTGTCTAATATGATATGAGAATCGCCTAAGCTCTTATTAAAAATAAAAATTCCTAAACTCTTCTTAAAGATTCTGACTGGGGATGTCAGAGCTAAGAAGCTAAAATGTGTATCTTTTAAAATGCTCTTAGTGATTCTGATAATTGGGCAAGTTTAAGAAATCTTGCATTGGGATTTAAGCTAGACTACCTGAACACTAAAAGTCTGCTTTAAGATCTGATCTTAAAAATGGATTCTGAAACAAATTATGAAAAGTCACAAAAAATCTTACACAGAAGATAACAAAGGACACTAAAAACTATCTGTTGCTACATGTTATACTTAAAGTCTAATTTTACTGAGAATAAAATCTTAAGTAGCTTTATAGATTAGAAAGCAAAACCAGACACAGATACTATAGAGACATAAAAGATCCCCTCTGAGTACAGTTGGTCCAATATCCTGAGACTTTAACCTATCAGGAATATAAACTCAAGTTTGAGTTCAAGAGCGGCTCTCAAAGTAAAAATGCTATTCTTTAAAGAAATACTATTATTCAGAGTAATGTTATTTAGAATCATAGTATTTGAGAAATTACCATCATGAATAATTTCATATAACTTATTTTTCACCATTTAGTCCCTATATTCCACTTAGCTAGTCACATAAAATTTTAAGCACTAGTCAATTTTACATCTGTTAACAGGCAGAAATCCAACACTGAACTGTTTGGACTGAAACACCATGTAAATTTCAAACTCAAATACAGTAAAATTTTGGAAACTTCAGTTTACTACCACATTCCTCATTTCTTCAAGAAAGTTTACCCACTGAGAAGTTTTAGTAGTTGGTCCAATTAGTTAGCATTTTTTTTCTTTGTATTCTCAAAAGATATGTTCAACAATGCTTTATTCTAAATCAAACTAATTTCCTTTCAAACGATAAGGAATAAGAAAAATCTCTGGGGGAAAAAATGTCTTAATTTTATAATCTCCCCATAATTATCTAATTTTGTTTAAAAAAAAGAGAAGCCGTTTATCTTCTATTATTTTATAAGAGTTCTATTGTAAAATATTGTTTACCTCAGTAGGAGGTTCAGGAAGGGAGGAAAACAGTTACTCCTTTGGCAACTCTGACAAGATCCAAAGATGTATGCAATTACCTCATTTATTTAGAGAACATTTTAGGACTTATAATATTCCAGACACTGTATTAAATAGTGCAGAAAAAAGGCCAGTAAATATAATTCCTGCCCTCAAAAAACTTTGCAGCTTTATGGAGAAACATCAAAATAAGGTCTTCAAAAATCTCAAAACAAAAACTTTAATCTTTAAAAATGGAATATGCCTTATATATCATGCTGGGTGGGGAAAGGAGGTGAAAACAGTAAAGTTAAAAAAACTGTTTAATCAAAATGATTCTGTTATTTCGGCAAATCATGTTCAGATCTCCTGTTGCCAAGTACAGCATCTGATAGCAGTCTTAAAATACTGATACATTTCAAGATAGACCATTTTTTATTAAATCTACCATTTGAAAGGTCAAGGTGTTCTTGTGATATCTCCTATGCAAAGATCTTATTGTGCCCCAAAGTAGTTTCCAAGTTTTTTCATTTTAAGCCACATTTCTAAATCTTTCAATTTTCCACAGCATACCTGAGATGAAGACAAGCAAAGAGAGTGAGTTCCACAGCCATTGGTAAAAACTGGTGCTGAAGGATGAGGAATTATTTGTGGAGATGGTAGGAAGATTATACCTCAGAAGAGAGTACATGAAGATACAATAATTTAGTGAAATTAAAAGAGAATAACATTATTAGAAACAAACCTTAGCAAAATAACTTGGCTCTATGACAGGGCTTAAGTTAGAAGTCAAAGATTATGCCCTAGGAAAGCCCCAAGTGTGATTGTGATATAGAAGGGCACGAAGTGATACAGAAGTAAATAATGTCAGTTATAGTGATAGATCAGCTAGGGAATACTGGCCTAAAAACCAGATTTAAATTCGAATTTTTAGGTCAACATCCTTTAGCACTATCATCATCATGAAAAATCTGTCTTCAACAATGATCACTATATGTTGCAAAATTTACTGAGAGGTAAAAAAACTTCATAATTTTAAAATATTAACCAACCTGGCCTACACCACCTAATAAGTTAATCACTTTTCCCCTCATCTTCATTACATACATAATGAGAAGACACTCTCTCCCTTCCCCACCTCTCTCTCTCTCTCTCTCTCACACACACACACACAAACTTAATTGAAGTGTGAACTCAAGTCTTTTAAATTACACGTATATAAATATTAAGGAACTTATTTCCCTCTTCCTTCAAGTACCACTTTCCTCAAAATATGCTTCTGTATATCTCCCTATTGGAATTGCCACGTTGTTCCATACTGCTACATGCAAATCTAACAATGAAGAAAATTATTAAAATCATCCAGAAGGACGTCAAAAAAGAATACTGATCATGATGGAAGTACAAAGTGTAAGTCTGATTTGCACTCAATATAAAAATATTTGCAAGGCGCCTGGGTAGCTCAGTCGGTTAAGGGTCCAACTCTAGATCTCAGGGTCATAGATTCACACCCCATGTTAGGCTCCACGCTTGGCGTGAGCCTACTTTAAAAAATAAGTAACTAAAATGAGTATATCTGTATTACAAACCACATTAAAGCAGACTTTGTTTAGACAAATTATTATTTCATATCCTTATATCCCCAAAATCTGATAATGCCCCCAAACTGACCTTCTTGTGTAGAAAATGTAAAGTAACTTACTTTCTCACATCACCATAATGACATATCAAATCATGTCATATGAGAGTACAGTGATTTCTAAAGTAAGAGTAATAATATAATATAATACATTGAAGTAGGGAGGGAAAAAAGAGCAAAAATATTCAACTATAAAGTATAAAGGTCTACTCAAAGAGCAAAAATATTCAACTATAAAGTATAAAGGTCTACTCAAAATATTCAACTATAAAGTATAAAGGTCTACTCAAAAATATTCAACTATAAAGTATAAAGGTATAAAGGTCTATTCAACTATAAAGTTGAATAAAGGTCTATTCAACTATAAAGTATAAAGGTCTACTTCACAGAAATCTATGAAAAACATAAATGGATGAATCTATTATCTTTTCAGATTGATCTGGTTTACAAATGATTCAGTTTGCAATATCATTTACTTCCAAACCAGTAAGGGAAGACTCCTCTAAAGAGTTCCTTAGTTTTAAACAGGTGGGGTGGGAGCAGTGGCAGTTTTACCATAAATGTTTTACTAGTTCTTCCCATTTATATTTAGAGGTAAGAAAAACAGAACATACTCAACAGTTAAAGTAACCCATAAGCACCAATTTCAAAAACCTTTACAGGCACTAACTGGGCTACCAATTGGCATAGCATGCCTGTGAATTATGCATGACAGAGTCATGTTAAAAAAAGTTTCATAATTACTCTACTTATTATGTCACCACAAAACAGGTTTAGGTTTTCAATAAAGATTCTTACTAATTTTCATCAAAGTACTTCACATAGCAATTTAAATATATAAATTGTTTAGAAATGGAAAAATAGGACTAAAGTCAATCACTGTTAGGTCTGAAAATGGCAGTTCTGATTTCTTAGTACTGCGCTTTATGCTTATGTTTCTCAAAGTGGAGCACTGTTAAAGTGTGGAGCATAATTAATGAAGGTTAATATTTATTGAGCACAGTATCACATAATGTGATGAATTCTTGGCATATATTGTCTAATTTCATCCTTAATAATCTTAGAAGTTAAGAACTATAATGATCCCTGTCTTAACTGAAGAGGCATAAATAATCTACCCAAGTGGCAGAGGGTAGATTTGAACCCAGAGCCTAGAACCAAGGTAATGGGGAAGAGAGGTAAAGTGATTGAGAGAGATCACAGAATTAACTCCCAATGTAGACAGGCATACTGCTTACTGACGGCACATAATTCCTCCTCATACTCTGGAATAGTGGTTTTCATCCCTGGCTACACATTAAAGTCACTTGCTTAAAAAAAAAAAAATCCTTGCCTGGGGCCCTCACTCAGATACCTGGCGTTCAACTGACCTGGCCTGGGGAGAAGGCACCATCTTTTGTTTGTTTTTTTTTTTTTAATCTCTCCGGGTAATTCTAAAGGGCAGTAAGACTGAAAACCACTAATAATTCTTCCCCACCCTGTAAACCTCTCTAAGTACCCAACTACAATCAAATTTACTAATCACCTATTTGGTTCTGAGCACTTCATCTATTCTATATTCTATTTACCCAACAAAGTGCTTATTTTTTTTTTCTTAAACAGAAGAAACATTACAACTATACTAGCATCTTTTTAAATAACAAAACTTTGCCAGTTTTTCTTTGACAAGAGGAAAGTAAGAGGAAAGCCAGCGAGACAGCATGAAAGAGATTGAAAAATCCCTTCTTTAAGCATCCATATACTCCTCAGGTTTAAAACAAGGTAAAAAGGTCCTAAGAGTGAAACTAAAAAATTACATGGCAGGCTATGAGACTAAAAAAGTTCTGTGATATATGTTAAAGAGAGATTTAATATCTATGCTATCTCTTAATTCTGCTGGAGATGACAGTTAAAACACTAAGTAACTGCTATTGTGGTGATAAATCCCACTGTCTTCCCATGGCGCTGTGACAGTGATTATGCAGTGTTTTTACCCTATAAGTCACCTGAACATAAACGAACAGGTGCTAAAGAAATCAAAGCATTACATAAGCATACCCAAACAACAATATGGCTGGTCATAACACGTAGTGAGAAATGCAAGGATTTTGCTGACAATCTCATAGGAGAAGTCTTACCATTTCTCTAAAAGTTATTCACTGCACATCCCACTCACCCTACATCAAAAGTATAATGGAAACTGTTCCAGACAGTCTCAGACTTGCTGGCCCTTTTATTTTACTAAAAAGGTGAAGTGTGGAGATACCTGGCAAGCATGGAAGTTTGATTTAGGATTTGAACAGATCTAAAATGAATAATATAAATACTCCAAGTTGTACAAAGCTCTGGACTTCTCAGAGAAACATTACAAAACTTCCTGCTTCCGGACAGCTCATTATTTGGTTCAAGTCTTCACATTCCTTTATTAGTCATGACTCTTTACAAAGCTCTCATTCCTCATTGTCTGAATATCGGACTTTTAAATGTTGCAAATCAGATTTACAGGAACCCTTATCAAATGAAGAAACCATCCCAGAGTTCATGTCCAGAGGAGACTTAGATTACATAGAGCCCTCAGTAATCTGAGCAGTGTGTCCATCACGTAGATTTCTTTTTTAAAAAATTCGTAAACATACATTGTTCCGCATATCTCAAATGTAGCTTCATCTATACATTTTTATCATATACAATTACAGGAACCTCCATTACTTTCGCAGAAATTGACTCTGCAAGAAACTGGGAAGACCTCTGAGTGTGTGTGAAAGGCACAGGCACGACAGAGAACCACTCAATGCTAAATGTCACTGGGGTCTCATATGGCCCAGGTCTGGCCACAGAGCCATATGTCAATAGGCTCAAAGGCACAGACGAGGAGAGAGAATCACAGGGTAACTGGGTAAGAAAACAAGGGGGAGGCACCTCATAAATATGTGTACTTCCACCCCGAAGCTGAAGGGGTGGCCCAAAGGGCAGACCCTAAAGAAAAACCTTCCCTCCTGGGATCCGTCACGTCGCCCAGGCCTAAAGGGCCGGCTAAAGAGGGTATGGGGTTGGGGGGAGTTCGGGGGAGGAAGGGCAGTGTGTCTGTCCCCACTTCAGAGACCGAAACAAATTAAAGCAAGTTCTCACTTCCTGGTCGCCTACTCTTCCCGAAGGCCTCGACACAAGACGGACACCGAGGATAGAGGGCTCCCCAGGAGTACGGGGGGAGGGGGAAGGGAAGGGGGGCCCACCCCAGCCCTGCACCTTCCCGTCCTCGCCCTCCCCTCCTCCGGGCCTTACACGGTGACGTGACCGGAGCCGCGGACCACCACGGGGTCCGGTGAGTACTTGAGCAGCTGCTCCTCCAGGGCCCGCTCTTCGTCCTCCTCCTCCTCATAGATCTCGTCGAAATCCGCCATCCTGAGCCTCCAAGGCCCCCTGCCCAAGGGGGCCTGACTCCAGGGGCTGGAGCCGGGATAAGGGCTGGCGAGGAGGCGGAGGCTGAGGTTGAGGGGAGTCGCTGCCGCGGGCTCAGAGGCCGCGGAGATCGATCTGGCTGCCTCGGCTCGGGCTACAGAGGAGATGGGGTCCCGGCCGTCGCCGCCGCCGCCATTATCATCAGCAATAACAACAACACAATGTCAACATCCGCCCAAGGGCCGACACCTCCACCGCCGCCGCCGCCGCCGTCGCCGCCGCAGCAGCAACTCAGGCAACCACAGCAACAGCCAGAGCCACCCGCAGCGGGAGCAGCCGGCTACGACATCGCGAGACTTCCCGGGAGGAGTGCGGGCGGGTGCGTGGGCGCCGGTGTGCGCAGGCTGGCGGGCGGGAGCGCGCACGTGAGGCCTCGCGCGCTCACAGGGCGCCTAGCTTCCTTCCTCCGGCCCCCTACCCCAGCCGCCGCCGACGCCTTGGGAGCGCGCTCCCGCCGGCGAGGTCCCGCCCTCTACGAAGTGGGTTGCGGTCCCGCGAGGGATGTCTCTGAGGCCCCGAGGCGTTGACCCTGACTCAGAGAATGGAGCTCGGCGTGTCCAGTGGAGCACTTAGTCACCCAAAGTAATCTCGAATCAAAACAACTAAAAATAAAAACACTGGTTGGAATAGAGAATTTATAGTGCGTGTCGGCCTGTTTATCTAATAATTGAATCTCGCTTTTTGTCAGTTTTTTTAGTCTTGATAAGAACCAGAGTCTGTACTTTCCTAATTTAGGGAGCCCAACAGAAACACTGCAAATATTTTTGCCCACTTTAATACAGGAATTTTCAAAACATGTCCAAATTCAAGCCTTGTGTCTTATCATCCCCTTAAATATAGTCCAGTATATGAAGCCAATGATGCTATTTTTTTTTTAATAAGAAAGCCCACTGTAGTCATGCCCTGAAGCAAAACTGACATTCTCTGGATTCCAGAGATGCAGTTTCCTGCCCCAACTCCCTCATCAACCATAACCTGTTTTCTTCAGTTAGGACTTCAGGGAATCCCTTTTCCTTCCTTACAGCTCCTCCCACCAAAGGGAAGAGTGGAGAAGGGAGGGGAGGGGAGGGGAGAGGAGGGGAGGGGAGGAAGAGAATAATGGGTTCTACTTACCTACCTAGACAACTAGTAAAGGCCCGAGGGTCACTTTGAGTACTTAGTTTCATAGTCAAGAAACTGTCCAGACATACAAAAAGTTCAGGGGCAGGAGTGAGCTCCAGAGAGTCCTGGATAATGATTATACACCGTGGAGGCAGGAGAATATAGCCACACTGGATCCAGTGCTGGTCAGACTATTCTCCAAGTACAATGTTCACATTCTGACATTTCCCTTTAGATGGGTCACTGTTGAACTTGAGAAAATGCAAACGAGAACAATAAAGTCAGCAAGAAATACCATTTTCTTACTGGA